AAAAAAATAGTTAAAATTAACTAATAAAAAACTAAGTAGTCAAAACCTGCCAATATCTGAGTATCGTGTAGTGATGATAAGCACTATTTATGTACATTAGGCTGGGTCGATTTTGTATGGGGAAAGATATAAGTTATTTAATCAGATTGCAATAGTGATATTATATTGTCATAAGTCTAAGCAAATAATAATTTACTATAAGGAATTAAAATAAGTCATATGTATCTTTAGCCTGCGCATTTGAGTCAAAGTTTTGGAAATTTTTGAAAAAACATTTTTGATTTGTGTGTTTTATTAATATATGTATGTAATATATGTAGATTAAATTCGTCAAGATTAAAAAAGTGGAAAATTCGGTAACTAAATTTTTAGTGTACCCGTAGTGAAAAAATCTTTCCGTTTGACCGCAAAATTTCCCTAGTTTTTGTAAAAGACTATTAGATGCTTGCCAAAACGGATGAATAGTAGCTTAAACAAATTATTATTGCTAAAAAGTCGAGGTTTTATTATATGTCATTGCCCAGCATAAAGTATCCACAGCAAATCGAAAAATTTATCCAAATCTATCCAAAGAAAATAGGAAGCATTTTTATGCACCGCATAGGAAGAGAAACTTCGGCAACGTCTTTTGCTGGGAACGCATTTTTTGACTTACATATTTCTGTTAGTTTGGTCTTTGTTGGTGGTCTTTCGCAACCGCTGATTTACAGCAATTTTGTTATATACGAGTGCAGTTAATATTTTTAACACAAACTTTGTAATGTACTTCCCGTCTTCATTTTCATCTAAAGTCCAATGTCAAACATCTGTTTGATATTTTTACTATTGATTGAATTGGCAAACTTCTTACCGCAGCGGTTCTTTACTTGGCGCTTCGTTACTTGACGCTTGGGCACTTTCGTTGCTTAAAAAACCCAAATAGGTATACTTACGTAAAACTGCCAAGCAACGAGCTCGATGTGAAGACCCCTATAAAAAGTCAAGGCTACGTTGTATATGTACATACAGCAATGGTCAGATAAATGTTACCATTGTTAAAATTTATTGAATTCGCATCATTTTCGATACAAGTTTCCTCCAAGCCATATGGTTTGACTGTTAGTCCCAGTTTTCAATATGACTCTGAGCCATGACTTAAGGCGGAGATTAAATGAATGTTACTTATATTTGGATAGGTGAAACCTAACGTTACTTAATGCTACGCCGAAGTCTGTTTCATTTTGATTTTCTAAATTCTAAGTTTATTTAAGTTGCCACAGTCACATTTTAAGGCTGCGTTGATGTTTTGGAACTATGTAAATAATTATGCGGTTTCAATGCCGTATGTACATAAGTGTATTGAAAAAGTCTATTGTAAAAACAAAACTTGCTTTAAAAATAGCAGATTCCGCGGTTAACCAAATTGTTATAAAAACCATATTTGATTGGGGGAGGAGGGGGATTTCCCAACTGAATGTGAAATAACACAAATTTGCTTTATTTTCTTTATCGTTGAGCAATAAGACCAACTTTTAAACTTAATAATTGAGTAATAAAGCAAAATAGTGCACAAATGTATGTAGGTCACCCAGTTACATTTGACAAAAAGTAGTACATTAACAAGTTAAATGGAAGGTTTTGTAAGTATACAATTTTGAAAGTACCCAGCGTCGCGGCGGCCCACGTTCGACGTCGCGCTCGCGGTCCCCGCCCCTTTTCTCCTTTCGCAATTATGCACTGCTGACATTATAACCATTTAGAAAAAAGAATAATAATAAAATGACACTAGTTCACTTCTGAAACTGCTTTTTAATGTCCAAGTAATGGGAATTATTGCGTATGGTGTTACTGCATGCACCCCACCCATGGTGGAATTATACCAGGTGAAGTAATATTAGAGTGAGAAGAAATATTTTGACACTGCCTTATTTGAAAACATGCCTATAATAAGTGACTATAAGACAGCCGAATGTCAGAAAATATAGCGAGAAAGCTGTTTTATTACTTCACCTATTCATTGCGCCATTCATGAGAGTAGGTAAAATTTTATATATTTTCACATCACTACTTCGTACCACATGTTCGCTTCGTCTTCGTAAACGAAATCCACATTTCGGATATGGCGAAACCAGTGATGATAATGCAAAGATTTTAACTGAAGATAAAACTCAAAACAATATTCTCTGCAACTTTTGTTTGTTCCATGCCATGGCGGAATTATACCAGGTGAAGTAATTAGAGCGAGAAAAAGATTTTGACACTGCCTAATTTAAAAAATTGCCTTTAAAATTTGACTATAACTAAGGCGGCCGAATGACAGAAAATTAAGCGACTTCGCCTGTTTATTGCGCCATGGTTCCATGCAAACATTTTAAGGTTTTCCAGCAATGTTTTCAACATATTAAAAACCATGCAGATAAAATATACATATGTATATTGTCAGACCTTTCATAAGTAAAAATATTTTGTGAATATTACTTTATTCAAATGAATTATATCACATTTTTTGTTTAATTGTATTTTTGGAATAAACAAAGTTCTTTTCCCTCTGTCAGTAAACTGTTTTTGTTACAAATAGTATAAATAAGCAATGGGAAATAAGGCAAAATTTGTTTGATTTCCAACCTTTGTTGGAAATAAAGCAAAACTCAGATTTTAGTATTATTTCCCATTTAAAAGTGAAATAAAGCAAATTTTGCGTTATTGCGCCGTTTGTGTTACTTCAGTTTGCGCAGTTTGCTTTTTGTATACGCATCGATAAGTTCCACGATACATTTTCACTTAGGAATGCATGACTTTGTAGAGTTGCTTTGTTACTGAAGTTTTGGAATTCATCCTAATTATGCCCCTGAATCTGGTTATACATTGAGTTTGGAACCTGTTTCGTAAAAAGCACTGCCTCTTCAAATTAAAATGCCGTCATCAACTATAAATACAAATGTTCCTTGGCAGGAGGCCAAAAAAGAATCCATTATCTTTAGCATTTCCTAGAATAATTATTCTAAAAGCCCTTATATTTTTGCCAGATTTTGGGCTAAGCCAGACTACTTCTTCTTCTGAATGTAGTGATTATGTATGAGAAAATTTCGCGCACACTCTACATTTTTCGTTAATACAAATCCCAGTTATTGTATCTGGAAACATGTGACAATCGACATGCGCGCATCACCGATCCAAATGGAGAATATTGTCAATCCCAACAAAAAGGTAAATCTATAACATAAAGGCTTTTAATATATATTAAACATATTATGTCGAATAGTTTATATTCAATGTCAACGTTTGTTTTCTTCGTCAGCTTGATTATTCAAAAATTTTACTACAATAACCATTTAACGTTAAAGACTGAATAACCGAAATTGTGTTTTGTGCAAAACCTAAAAACGGAAAAGATGTAATAATACAATTTTTCCCGCGGATTTGAGTTAAGTATAGCTGTCACAGTGATTGGTATTTAAATAGTTATCGTTGTGCTACATTTTGGCATTAAAGTTAAGGTTAGATGTAAATATTCGAAATATTGCTTCTGCTTGATTAAGGATGAAACGATACTATACAGGTATCGATACTTTTACTTGGAAGTAGTATCGAAAATAAGTATCGATACCTGAAAAATATCGGACCTTAGGTATCAATACCTACTCGTATCGGTACTAATTTTGATTCCGTATTATGTTAAATTTATTCTTTTAAATCACAAGTTAATCATCCTCTAGAAATCCTGAAAGTAAATAAAACTCCGTTGCATAGCAGAACTATATGTTTAATGATGAATGGTATTTACACAGATACATATACAATGGAAAAGATTACAGGTTAATTTTATTTAAGAAAACGCACATTAATAAAATATTTCAGCGAAGAAAGTCGTCTTTTATTGTGCTTCCCAAGAATAGAAGTTTTTCCAAATGCTTGCCAGTCAACCGATTTCTTGACGTGGTTATTTTTGCTCCTGCTTTCGAAAACAATCCTTCGCAAGGAACAGATGTTGCAACTATACATATATACGGTGACCATATTTATTTATGCGAGCCGAATACGGGACAAAAAATAATTTTTCTAATTTTTTCCATAAAAGCTAACAGATCTTAACACCTTGTTAAATGATCTTAGATGTATGTATTAGCCCTGAAACAGCATCCTTATAGTAACATCACAAATTTGAATGAAATTTGTATGTCGAATTTTACCTTACAAAATTTTTTACAATAGTTTCGTTAAATTTTAGGACGATAAAGTGCAAGTGTAACTAGGACTTACCGTTAATTTTTGGCAACTTTTTTGTCGACGGTGTTACGCACTTTTTTCATACAAAGTTAGTATGTTCGGCAATTCGTTGATAAGGACAGGGGATAGGGGCACGAATTTCGATACGATACGATACCATATCGATATTTTTGCCATTCGATACCGATACTTTTTACTGGATAGTTTTCAAACGATATTTTTTGGAATCGAGTACCAGAACCCTGGTATCGTATCGAATCATAAATGTACATTACAAAGTTAAGTTTTGTAGTAATATTTGAAATATTTAAGGTTCATTTTTCAAGTTCCAAATTGTAAATATCTGTTCTGTTTTTTAATATCCGCCGAAGAATCTCACGTGACGTTACATGACGTTACGCTACTTAAAATTCCATTGAAACTTTTTTTGTTAATAGTGTTTTTAAACTAATTTGTAGCGCAAATAAAACATGAATTTTTATGTGTAATGTATTTTTTATTTTGACTTCGGCGCTACCTAGCGGTTTTATTTTTTACAAATCTATGTCGAACTATAACCTTCCGCTGGAAAAGCCCATATGTCTACACTTTAGAATTTATATGTAAAGCAACATGAATATATTTTGGCTTTAATGAGCACAAGTATGTACTAACTTCCCTGCAGTTTGAAAGGAATTTATAAACTACTTT